ACACGTGTCTGCAGAAACAAACTGTGATAAGACAGAGGAGGACATCCCATTGCCGTTGAAGAAAATGTTTCCGGTTTCTTATTTCTTTGCATGGTTTCAAGAAAAGTTATTACAAAAGTGGAACAATGAAGACATAGGTTGCACCCATAAGTGAAATAAGTGGGGTGAAAAATAACTCATTTTCACTATTTTTTTTCTATATATAGTATTTTTATTATGGTTTTTGCAAAAGGCAGTTTTTCAACTAGTAGGCGGTAATGTAACGTCTAGATACCGAAGAAGAAGAAGAAGAAGAAGAAGAAGAAGAAGAAGAAGAAGAAGAAGAAGAAGAAGAAGAAGAAGAAGAAGAAGAAGAAGAAGAAGAAGAAGAAGAAGAAGAAGAAGAAGAAGAAGAAGAAGAAGAAGAAGAAGAAGAAGAAGAAGAAGAAGAAGAAGAAGAAGAAGAAGAAGAACTTATAGGAACTACTTGTTTTAATAAAGGCATGCAAGTGTTCGTACTGGGTAGTTAGTTTACCCTCATTAAAAATATCCGCTGATTTACAGACGTCTCTTTCCTTATGTAAGTCAATGGGAAAAGGTCATTTTTGGGCCGATGACATCACTTGACTGACACAGGAGTTTTAGCATACCTTTTGGCCCCTACGAATAAATGCTTCAACAGCTGACACTCTTCCAGGGGGCTCGAGAGGTAAAGCAAGACCCAGTGGAATCATCTGTCCATTGTTTTGATTAACCACTGAGTTGATCATCTCTGTCTGATGGGCATTACTGTGTTTATGACAAGTTATGTATTTACTTTTCATTCATTCACAATGTGGTGTAATGTGACAGTAACAGGCTACAGATGCAGACAGCCGCTGGTATGATTTGACTGAGGGGGAATATTTGTTCATAAAATAAAATGACCGGATTAAAGGTGGCACGATTAAAGCAGTTTAATTAAAAATATAAGTAGCCTAATATCCAGGGGAGATGTGATTAGTGCATGAGTAAACAAACGGTAAAGGGCATAAAGTTGGATCATCTTAAATAACTTTTAATCACAACGGGAACAGTTTGCAGAGCTGTCATTGGTTGAGATAAGTCCAGCTGTGCGTCACGCCTCTTTTAAACATTGCTGTTGCTGGAAATATATCCCCGGAGGATACATCAGTGTATCCTTGCTCATAGCCCCTCCAAAGAGCCTCCTCGATACTTAATCCTCAATGTGCATTTGGAGAAATTAGATGTCCTTCAAGATGGCCGCTGACAATTGCTTTCCAGGTAACTTACCTAGGAGTCGAGGGGTCGTAAATCGTAAAAAAATGAGAAAGGGCTCTGCTGCCCTATCTGACCAGACCCAACGCTGTTTATGTCCGCCATCAAACACGTTGTTACAAACAGTTCTTGCAAACATTGGTAAACTCAAACAAGATACACATTAAAGATCGTCATACAGATGTTACCTCGTTTCCTTCTTTTATTCAGGAATACCCTTGGCCTTGTCTAGTGTAGAAAACGGTAAACGTATGAATTTGATTATAAAGTTGTGTACATTTATAGGGACTGATTTTTAAGGACACGAGGCGAGGAGTCGGGGAAAGGGCTGCTGATTTGAAACCATTGTTACGAAAATACTTTTTTCAACTACCATATCAAACCTCCCATTTCTAGGTAAAATCATTGAAATAGTTGTTTTCGACCGCATCACAGCACTGAGACTGCTCTTGTTAAGGTCTTCAATGACATTTAACCAATACCATGGCAGAATCTCAGTGTTAGTATTATTAGATCTTAGTGCTGCATTTGTCAAAGTCAACTTTAATGTCAATCTTTCTCAGTTTGTGTTTACAGACAGAGATCGAAATGACGTTTCCAACAATCCCGAATACGAAAATAAAATTATACAATATACAATATATGTAGAAAAATATATATATCCTATACACAATCAACAGACACATTTACACATATGCACACATTAAGATAAAAAACACAACAATCAATATATACAAAATAAATAATATAGAAAACAACAGTCACTTAAATTTCAACACTGTTGACCACAACATATTACTAGACCGACTGGACAACTGGGTGGAGCTTTCGGCAAAAGGTCTAAATTGAATGGATCCTATTTAAAAGACAGGAAAAAAACGTTGTTTCTATATGTAACTACACATCTGAGTTGACAAATATGACATGTGGGGTTTCTCAAGGCTCCATCTTGGCGCCTCTTCTCTTTAACATCTACATCGTGTAGATGTTAAAGAGAAGAGGCGCCAAGATGGAGACTACATGCTACCACTGGCTCAGATATTGAAAAACAACAAAATAACTTAACATAACTATGCATGTTACGTGCCAGGCAGGCTGTACTTGTGTGGTTTTCCTTCCCTCCTGTGTTTCTCTCTTCTCCCTGTCTTCTGCACAGCTAATCAGCAGCTGATGGGTATCTGCCTGTGCACCTGAGTCTGACGGCTGATTGGATCCTCTCACCCTCAGCTGGCCTATCAGCAGCCAGGGCCGACCATAAAGGAGGCACCCAGGAAGTCTTCTCGCTCTCTCACCCTGGGCCTGTGCCTGATTGAGCAGCCTGCAATTGACTGCCTTGTTAAGAAAATCATTCTACTTTGTTTGTTCTAACCTTTGATAAATGTGTGTGTTGAGAGGTGGGGGAGTTAGGTAAGTCTGGGGTACCCTGTAGTGATGGCAAAATGAAGCTTTGAATGAAGCGTCGAACCACTTGGACAATTGTGTCGGAAATAGGTTCATTTCTCGAAGCTTCAGTTACAGCGACCTCTCCTGGCGAAGTGCAAGGCTGCAGTGGGTTTAACGTATCTTTGCCTTGAAAAATATTCGATGCACACACACACAAAGACTGAATATCATGTTCTATTTGCAATTAAAGATTGATAATTGTGTGTATTGGGTTATTGAGAAGAGACTAGAGAGTGCTGGACATGTTTTTGGGCGGAGAGGGCGTTTTATCAGTTATTAAAGTTGAAAAGCAATGATTAAAATGTCCATTCCGGGATTTGAACCAGCCGCGCGGAGGACATCGCCGGATTCGGGCCGCCGGCTATATCCACTGGGCTATCTATTCCTTTAAATATTTAACTGTTTTTATATTACTGATAATTGTCTTTTTGTTCACAACTTCTCCACATTTCGAAGTGTTTCCCGAGCCAGAACGACCTATCTTTCTTCCTGGCTTGCTCTATAATGATATCAAATGCAATACCAACAACAACTCAACAGCAACAACGCAAACTACGACAACAACCCACACATTGCGCATTGTTTAGAGCGGTCATAAAGTGTTGAAGCACTCAAGTTTGAAACTGTTTCAACCTGTCACCTGTCAGAATCGAGACGAGGCAGTGCATTGAATCGCGTGAATGGACTGCGAACCAGTGAGTGATTCATTCAGGAAATGAAGCAGTTGCTGCTTCGGACGTCACATGTCACGTGATTTGAAGCAAGCTTCGAAGCACTGCTTCTATGGAATAGGAAGTCCAGGGTTGAAGCTCCGTTCGAAGCTTCAGTGTCAAACTGCCATCACTAGTACCCTGTACATTTCTCATCACGTAGATAACTAATGTTAAGACACACTAGGTTAGTGGATTGTTGCCACCCCTGTATTCTGTTTTGTCCAGTTCTGAGTAGTTTAGTTAGTGAGGGTTTTTGTTTGAGTTTGTTGAGTTTTGTTATGCTCAGGCCCCCTTCTTCCTTTTTTGTTTGTTTTACGATCCTCCAGACTTGGTTCCTTATTGCCGGGAGGCATGCATGTGAGTTACGGCTGTGCTGAAAATAAATGCCCGTCGATAACTAAATGCTGTGTTTGGCATGGTTGTTTTTATGTTGCGGGTCTTCCCACGAGCCACTACCGCTTGGTAGAGGGACGGGATGTAACGGGAGCCAAGGCAGAACAAATACAACTCAGCGCTGAGCTTCAGTCTGCAATGTTCAAAACAACAGATAAAGCCAGGAATCTAGGTGTAGTCATGGACTCTGACCTGAGTTTCAACAGTCACATTAAAACAATTAACAAGTCAGCCTAATATCACCTTTAAAATATATCTAGGATTAAAAGACTTATGTCACAGCAGGATTTGGAAAGATTTGTCCATTATTTTATCTTCAGTAGAATCAACTACTGTAATCGTATCTTTACAGGTCTCACTAAAGAATCGTATTCAGAACACTAAGAAAGTGGATCACATGAGTCCAGTTCTGAGGTCTTTACACTGGCTTCCTGTCCGTCAAATAATTGATTTCAAAATACTGCTGCTGGTTTATAAAGCTTTGAATGGTTTAGGCCCAAAATACATTTCTGATCAGCTGCTAAATTGATGAACCATCCAGATCTCTCAGGTCTTCTGGGACATGTCAGCTTTCTGTCCCCAGAGTCAGAACTAAACATGGGGTAGCAGTGTTCAGTTATTATGCTCCAAATATCTGGAACAAACTACCAGAAACCTGCAGGTTATATGCTACTCTTACTACTTTTAAATCCAGGCTGAAGACTTTTCTTTTTGCCGCTGCTTTTAATTTAACTATTCATATCTTACACTTCACTGTAACTTTTATTAAAGTATTTTATACCTGTTTTATTCATGTTTTATGTTTATTTAATTATCTTTGCTTTTAAATGACTGTTTTTAAATGCCATTTTATAATGTGTTTCCGCTGTACTATTTCTAAATGCTCTTAAAAGCACTTTGAATTGCCTTATGTTGAAAGTTGCTATAAATATTGCATTGCCTTCATAGGATATCCATGTTGTCAACTGGCTACTTCAAAACAGTGTTCTGTGCCCCAACATCAAGACTGTCAGGCACTCGTATCATTATAACTACTTTGTTTAATCTGCTAGTTCAGTGGACGAACATTCTTCACGCCTTACAGCATCAACTCGGGTAATAAATCGTGTCTATTACCAAACTCCCCTCCACTGTAAATGGGCGTTTCCAGAAGTTATATTAACTAATCTTTCAGCCTTCACCCCGTGAGTTGGTGCCAAACACAAACAACATGTCGAGCGAAGTGGAGTATGACTGCATAGTGATCGGGGCCGGGGTCCAAGGCTCCTTCACGGCCTATCAGCTGGCAAAAAGGAACAAGAAGACTCTTCTGCTCGAGCAGGTGTGTCACACACACAACCCTGTTCCATAGCTTTTGTTTGTAAAGATCCTGCAGGAGGGAGGGAAAGTGTGTCAGATACGGGCAACAGCCGAGTGAATTTGTCCTTAGGTTTATTTCAAATAATAACAGGGATATGAAAAAGTAGAATGCACATGTATTTACAATGTGTGATGTCTGTGCATTACAATATACACATTGTAAGCAGAAGCAGAAGAATGTAAAACTCAATACATGAAACATAAATATTTTTTAAGCAGGGTCTTCTTTTTTTCAATGTTCAGAAATATTTTGTATGTTCAGATTTAATATATCATATTACAGCCTATTGGTAGTTTGTTTGTTTTACTCTTTTGAATGGCTGTAGGCCTAACCTACTGCAGTATACCAGCTGATGTTTATTTGTATTTCTTGAAAAGTACCCATATGTTAGCGGTTAGCTGAGGTCACATACAGTAGGCCTATATTGCAACACTCACATAGCAATAAACGAGGAAGTTGCTTATTGGCTTTTTGCCAGTGTCACGGCCCGTCCACACAGCAGCTTTTGGCGATTTGTCCACCGCTTCCAGCGCGTCTCCGCCCATTGACTTTGAATGGGGATGACGTCACTTTCCCTCGCTTGTCGCCGAATTGCATTGTGGGGGGGCGAGGCGAAGATTTCCAGGATTTCCAGGATGTTCAGGATTCCAAAGTTGAACAATGTTCAACTTTTGAGGCTGAGCTGGAAGCGACAGCCAATCAGATCCGTTTATGCAAATCTGACAGTTCAAGCGCTAGCCAATCAAACCGCGTGCAAGCTGGGAGAACCAGACCCGCAGTTCATTTCTATATTCCACAAAAATGGAGGAGAACTTAGTTATTGCGGTAGCAAATCACCCGGTTCTTTATGACCAGTCCCTATTAACTTACCGGGATACAAACCGGAGGAACCAGGTATGGAGGGAGGTGGCAGAGGCAGTGGGTGAAACTGGTAGGTTTTCGCTTGTTTGGGGATTTTATATCCAGTTTACTTCGTTGCTAGTTTACTTCGTTGCTAGCAAGCATATACAGTATCATTAGCCAGCATGGAATGTAGCATAAAATAGCACCATAAACATTAATCTCATAAATGTTCAAAATGTTAAAAAAATAAATGTTCATCATAGCCCTTCCTATTTGACAATAGTGTAGAAGAACCGGGTTTTTTTGCTTTGTATGTCGGGGGCGGGATATTCATGTGATTGGTTGTTGGTCGCGAAATCCCCAAGCTGTCAGACACGCCCAGCTCCAGGATTTTCAAGATTTGGTCAAAGCTGCTGTGTGGACACACCGTTATACACAGTGGCGGCGGGTCATTAGGGGCAGGTGGGGCACAGACCCACCTAGTGTCAGAAGAAAGTATTACAAATAATGATTACAAAAAAATACTTAAAAATAAATAAAAAAACATATAAAATATATTTTAAGGTCATGTTTAATAATCTGATTCGTCTGTACATTTCTGTTTTAGTCTGTGTTCTTCTAATTAGTGTCTAGAGTGCCGTTTTGAGCTGTTTAGAGCCATGTGGGACAAAACCCGATCCTGCCCCTCCCTCTCACAGTCTAAGTGAACGGTGATTGTAAAAACTACACTGCGCATGCTCAGAGTATTTTTCTATTTAATGTGTGTGGCAAAAAAATAATGACCGTAGGGGCATAGTGCTCCCATCCCCACCATACGTCATCTCACATAATTCAGAATTGATTGGCTGTAAGTACTCACGTGTGCAGTGCTGCGAATCGTCACGTGTAGTTTGAAGAGGAGACGAGAGAGCAGCATATAGCTAACATCACCAGCGATTAAAAGAAGTAAAAAAACTGAAAGAAAATGAATGAAGTTGACCATTTACTGGAGCACACATTTGAGACACTTAGTCTCGGAGAGAAACTGGAGGTAAAGCGCCTCGGTGCCCACCATCCACCGGATTTCCAAATGGTCCAGACTGCGGGCAAAGTTAAACGTGGGTTTAACGCTGAGTGGTTTGCTAAAAAGAAATGGCTAACGGCGAGCATCCAGAAGAATTCCCTCTTTTGCTTTCCTTGCCTGCTTTTTGGTGAAGATCAAGGTACTTGGTCGAGGACAGGTTACAAGGACTTAAAGCATCTTTCGGAGAGGACAATGAAGCATGAGAGCAGCAACAGTCATTTGGAAAATGCCGTAAAATTGGGATTACTTGGAAGGGTGAATGTTGCAGCTCAGATTGACAGCGCCTACAGACGCGGCATTGATTCTCATAATAGGAAGGTGGAAGAAAACAGGTACGTGCTTGGTCGGATCATCACCTGTATTAAACTGTGTGGGAAATGTGAGACAGCACTGCGGGGCCACAACGAGTCGGCGGACTCTCTGAATCCAGGGATATTCAGGTCAATTTTCGAGACAATGTGTGAGGGCGATTCCAGGCTTCAACGGCACTACGAAGCTCAGCTTGTTTTCAAAGGGACATCAAGCACCATACAGAATGAACTCTTGGACTGCATGTATGATGTGTACAGGGAGGAAATAGCCAAGCAAGTGGACAACACATCATTTGTTGCCGTTCAGGCCGACGAGACAACCGATGTCTCCTGTAAATCGCAAATGGTGATTGTGCTGCGATACATTATGCCTGACCTCACAGTTACAGAGCGTTTTTTGGAGTTTGTGGAAGTAAAGGACAAAACTGGTGTAGGTCTCTCTAACAGCATCAAGGCTGTTCTGGAACCCCTGAAGCTGAAAGAAAAGCTAATCGCTCAGACCTATGACGGGGCGGCCGTCATGAGCGGTAACGTGCGCGGGGTACAGACGGTGATGAAGGAGACGTACCCAAACGCTCAGTTTGTTCACTGCTACGCCCACCAACTGAACCTGACCCTGCAGCAACTGTGTTCAGCAAGGATGAGCATCCTGAACGTGTTTTTTGCAGATCTAACTGCTTTTTCCACTTTGTTCTCCGGTGCTCCAAAACGTGTTGCAGCTCTTGCAGAGGCAACACAGAGACGCATCCCACGGCCACCGGCTGTGAGATGGAACTTTAAAAGCAGAACTGTGAACGCGGTTTGGGAGACCCGAGATGCACTACTTCAGTGTATGAAGCATATACGCGCACAACCAGGATGGGATGCGGTCACCATAAGTGAGGCATACGGCCTGTCAAAGAAACTGCGGGACCGAGCATTTATGCAGCTCCTGGAGTTTTTTTCGTTGCTTATGCCAGAAGTGGATGTTCTATACAACACTCTGCAAAAACGAAGCATCGATGCACCTGGGATCAACAGCGCGCTCTGCCGTTTCAAGGAAAATGTTCAGAAAATGAGGCAGAAAACTGATGCATTGGCCGCCACTGCTCATGATGGAACAGACGAGCCAGGCGGACGAGTCAGCAGCACAGCGCCGGTGATGAAGGAGGCTTGTGACACAGTCATCTCACAGGTGGAACAGAGGTTCTCACAGAGTGACCATTTGATCGCTGCAAAGCTTGTTGACAGCTCATTCTTCCCACAGCATGTCCTGTCATTTCCTACACCTGAGCTTGACTGCGCGGGGGAAACTGGCCTGCGTTGGGAAACAAGGAGAAGTTGAAGTCTGAGCTGACCACGCTCTACCGCCACAGTGAGCTTCACACTGGAAACACTGCCCTGTCTCTGTTGAAATCCATTCACGAGAACAACTTGGAGGAAACGTTTGCTGAGACTGTTATTTTGGTCAAAATAATAGTGACAACTCCGATGACGACATCCGAGTCAGAGAGGAACTTTTCCACCCTCAAAAGGATAAAGACTTTCACTCGCAACACCATGGGACAGCCGCGACTTAACGCATTGGCCATGCTTTCAATTGAAAGCCAGTTGATCCAGCAACTACAGGACTTCACCCCCAAAGTGATAGACACATTCTGTCAGAGGAAGGACCGCCGTGCCGCTTTTCTTTTCAAGTGAGCCTTCAGCTTTGGTAAGTTCATTTATGTCATATATTTTGTTGATCTTCTGTGTTTTGCCTCTGCTGGATCGATTGATATTGTGACCTCGATGATGAGTGTCTGTGTTTTCCTTATATTTACAGTCTATGGTGTTTTAATGCTAAAGCATTACGGTTGTTGTTATTGTTAAGAATTACTTTGTGATGGTGACCTTTACTCCATGTATGAAGGTGCATTACTATGACATCCCCACGCTGTGTACGTAAATGTATGCGCTCACAGTGTTGCTCCTGTGGTCTTCAGTATGTAATTTGACACTCCCCCTCTCTCTCTCCTCCCCCCCCTCTCTCTGTCCCCCCTCTCTCTCTCCTCCCTCTCTCTGTCCCCCCCCCCCCTCTCTCTCTCTCTCTCCCCCGACCTCTTTCTGCCCCCCCCAGTTTTGTACACCTAGAAACGCCACTGGTTATACATGATATTAGGTAATGTTGGGTAAGGTACTCTTTTTCAGTAAGTAAGCGTAGCAATAATGTGAGAGTCCAAGGACAGAGGGTGTCATATTCATATTCTGTACAAACTGTAAAGTCCACTGAGACAAATGTAATATTTGTGATATTGGGCTATATAAATAAACCTTGTATGATTGATTGAGCAATACGTAATTGTAAAAGTACTCTGTTACGTACATTGGCTGGGATTGCAGCCAATCACCCTCATCCGCTCTGCAGAGAGGGTGATCGACTGCAATCTGCCATGTCTCCACGACCGGCACGCCTCCAGGACCCTGAGGCGGGCAGGGGAGATAGTGGCCGACTCCTCCCACCCTGGACACAAACTGTTAGCCCCTCTCCCTGCACACCATCAGGACCGAAACCTCTCACCATCTGAACAGTTTCTTCCCCTCTGCTACCGGCCTCATCAACAAGGCCCGGGACCCCCCTCTGACACTGACTTTTATCCACCCCAGAAAAACATTATGCATTACATTACTGCACATCACATCATGAGAACAACATCTTGTTTTTTTTGTATTGTAAGTCCTGCACGTGTTGCACATTTCTGCTCCATGCTACCTCTTTTTTTAAATCAGCATAACTCTGCACTTTGAATGTTGTATATTGTCATATTGAATTATATTTTACTGCACTCAGTTTCCTACATAATTATATTTTGTTTATTATCATTATTATAAAACATTTTTAAAATAGCTTTTATAATTGTACTATTTATTTTGTTGGTTATGTATTCTTCTTGTAAGGGAAACTTCTGCAGCAATGGAGAGTCAGGACTCAGAGAGACACGAGGAGAGTTGGAGCTTTGATGTCAAACACTGGTAGTTTATTACAAGTATCGGCCGGAGAATTCACATCACAAGTCACAGCAGCCAGAGGTTCTGACTGCACGGGAGGGTTGCCACATCAATTCTGAAGAGCCTCTCTCTTGATAGACCTTTTAACTAGTTCAGAGAGAGTAAACAACATATTTGGGGAGATAGACTAAACAGCTGGGCACACTGGAGATAGCCTCAACTTCTGGAGACACTGAATCACTTGTCTGACCCTTAGGCTCGAAGCCAGCGTTCTCACAATCATAAACCATTTGTGACGGAGAGTTGCCCGGTCATAAACTGGGAATAACAACATAGCTGGAGCAGCACATTCCTTAAGGGAGATAATAGAGTCAGGGTTGGTCATAAACGTCAACAGGCAAAAAGGTTAAATATCTTAGGGAGTAAAGGAGAATTATTCTCTAACACTTCTTTCTGTGTCTCTGAATGCACCACTCATACCAAAGCAAATCCCTCATGTGTGAACCTACTTGGTAAATAAAACCGATTCTGATTCTGAAAGTACACCCATCTCAAAATTGTCCTTAAGTACAATACTTAAGTAAATCTACTTTACATTCCACCACTGATATAAGGTGTGTAACTGGGAATATTTGGTCTGGTAAAATCATATAGCCAGGGTAAGTCATTAAGTAGTTTTACCAACAATGTCTTTGTATGCTAAGCTGTCACAAAGTCATTTAAGTGTTCATGCTGGCATTGTTAAGTGTTTTAGAAATGTTTTAGTGAGAACGCACTCAAAACAGGGAATGGCTAGGGAAAATAGGACATATTGGCCGTTTCTCAATGTCGAGTAAACCTGCTGCAGAGCCACTATTTCAAGTATACTACATCATTGAGTGGCGCTGAAGGACTGTTTAAAGGCATGTTAAATGCCCAGCATTCGGCGCCACTCAATGACGTAGTATACTTGAAATAGTGGCTACTCGACATTGAGAAAACGGCCATTTTGTACAAATTAATTATTCTAATGAAACAGTTTTTAACATATCAACAGGGCTGAGTTTATATAAGCAAAGGTCTTAAGGAAATTGGTTTCTTGCAACTTTATTATTTTTATATGACAAAGAATATTGTAACCTAAAATAACAGGCGCCCTAAAACAGCACCTGCCTCATTGCAAACACTTGATGAACCTTCTTGCTGAGGGGTATTAAGTTCATTAACTGGACTTTTGGATTATTGCTCTCTGGTGGTTTTGCCCATCTGGTGTGTTATTTCCAAATCAAAGTTACTTAAATATGATCTTTTGTTCATATTTTCCAGTTTGTCCTGCCCCACACACGAGGCAGCTCCCATGGCCAAACCCGCATCATCCGCAAGGCCTACGAGCAGGACTTCTACACCCAAATGATGGATGAGTGCTACAAGCTGTGGTCCCAGCTGGAGAGGGAGGCGGGTGTCACACTGTACAGGTAAGCAGTCCGCATTAACACAGAGCGAGAAAAAGCCATTAAACAAAACACAACAAAAGCTTTGCCACAACTAGGGGTGCAACAACTAATCGACTTAATCGATTAAAATCGATGACCAAATTAGTTGCCAACTAATTCAGTCGTCGATTCGTTGGTGACGTCATCACGTGTGTTTTGCGCGCAGTTAAACTCCAACGTTATCGGTCTTTTATCGGTACTGGAGACATTTAAAACGTATGTCATATGTATTATTGCTACATAAACATTATATCGCAGTCTTAGTGTCACCAACTCCGTTTCTAATATGCAATCAGACTACAAAATGCGTCTATGATGTATTTTCGATCTTTCCAATCCAGACGAGATATCTCTCTCCCCCGTCTGTGTGCGAGGGGGCGGGGCAGTTTACACACACGCAGCTGCTATATCATGCATGCAACACACACACACACACGGCGGAGAGAAGCGCTCCAAGGTGTGGTTAAACTTTACCCGTCTTGAGTTGGACAATGCTCGTTACCAAAAGTGCAATAAGAGTTTAGCATGTGAGGGCGGTAACACGAGCAATTTGTCTAAATATTTAGCAAAAGTGCTCCACATTCAGACGGAGGAATGCACCGGGTTCGACTGTCTTTCTAGTAGCTCTGTAGCCCCGTCCACGAGTAACGTTTCCACGTCAGGTGTTATGTATGCTAGCAGCAACACACGGAGTTAACTCCATTATACAAACATGGGTTTATGATTAGAGGAAACTGAGTTAGTTATTTTGTTAAAGTTTCAGCTATTTTGTTTACAGTTCTGTCATCACATTATTTAATACGATTTGTTAAAACACTGTTGTTTCTTTTGTTGTGAAATATTATTTATTTATTTAAATAAAAAGCAATGTTAGTTTTGTTCACAATTTGTTTAGTTAATTTACCTTTTTTTTTTTCTTCAAAAGAACCGTTAAGAGTACCGTTAAAGGACCGGATCGATAAGCACTATAAAAGTAGTAGTATAGTTAAAACCTTAACGCATCACTGAATCACCTCTTGACAGCTTCCATGCCTCTGAATGTGGAACATGGGCTTTTCTCATTTAGCTAAACCTCGGATTTTCATACGCAGAGGGAGAAAGGGTTTGTGTGTTTTATAGATTTCAGTGGCATTAAACTGAGATCAGCATCAACCCTCTTGAATTACTTTTATTTTCCTGTTCAAACTGTATAAAGTTGCGCAGGAATAAGTCCTAAAGTTTGGAAATAAGTTTGCATTTTACCCCTTCCCTTTCCAACATCTCTAAGCCATTGGGTTTTTTAACGTGTTTTCTGTCCGTAACTTTATTCCATACTGAATTTCTCAAAAACTATTGAAAGGAGTGCCACCAATGACTTTAGGATGCATCTTAATAGATTTGGTAATCGACTGATTTTTCTTACGTTTTCAAATCGAGTACTACAGGAATGAGTCTTAAAACCCGGAAATGAGTTTGCATTTCAGTAGTTCCGGGTCGCTTGTCTCAAAGCCAAGAGTCTTTGGTTGGATGTCGGAAATAAGGTCTGTGATTAAGAAATGTTCATGGTAAGTTAAATAAAATAAAATAGGTAATGTTACTAACAAATTAGTTGAATAAACGTCGAACGTTAGCTGCCTTTAGCTTAGCGTTGCTGAGTGAGTGAAGTCATGCAAAAGTGATGAAGCTTGGTTATAGCCTAACGAAAGCTGTGTTCCTCTGGTGATTGCATTTACAATTTATAAAGGTAGTATTTATATATCCTGCTGAACAAAACATGTAAATATCATAAACGTGTCTTTGCCAAAAATCCCACCCTTAATATTCCAATAAACAATGGAAAGATCCCATTTATCTAGTGGAGGACTCACTTGCAATACTAACAACAGGGTCGGCCTACACAAATATTATGTCATCACTGCACCACTCTATTACCTCTGTTTGTTCTTGGTACCAGAGAGCCAAATAACACATTGATGTATTATTCATGCCTCTCCAGGGTAATAGTTCATGGTACCAAGCCACGCCCACATTATGTTCCCCTAGAAACACAGTCCCCGTCCCCCTGTGCACCCATCCGAAGCTCATGACTGATGGGTCCACATCTGAAGGCCACCTGTGCCCTTGGGCTGGAAAAAAGTGTCTGCATCACGATGAGAAATTTCCCAGCGAGGCAGTGTGAGCAATGTCTCCCACTTGTGCTGCTGCCTCTGGGACAGATGGAGCCATCGTAAGAGCGAGAGTAAATCTAAAATCTTTATTTTTCTCCACATACATGGCAACACATGTGATCCAGCAGCTGAGCTAGTGCAACCAATCATCGATTTTGACAGTTTGGACTAGATGAGGTATCATATTTACGATCTTACACTCGCATGGCTTTTCCTGCCTCCGTCACACACTCGTAAACACACAAGCACACAGGGAGACATAGTCATAAAGTGTTGTGATGAATGGCTGAAGTCTTTAGCTGGGGTTGTGTGTGCCTTATGGCGGCTGACAGATGTCAGAGCAGCCTTTAGAAAACACTGCTGGCAAAGGGCAAGTCAACAATCTATCAGGCAGATTACTGAGTTAGACCCTATGTTTCACAACCTCTCACCCTCAGACCCAATAACTTCTCACTGGAGCTTTTGTGATCAGCTGTATTACTGTCGGCTAATGGCATATGATGTCCAGTCAATGTTAACGGACCTTTTTTAAGGTTCCTTCAATATTTTATAGCATATTTTTCTGCCACAACACAGTTCTATTGACATTTCAGTCCGGGTAAGCCAAACTAACTTAAAATAATAAAAGCTACATTACTCATATTATTATGTTTAATTTATAACCGATAACAGGCTCCCTGTGTTAACTTTGACCCATTGCACTTTATAGTTTTGATTTCAATGACATTCTCGTGTTATAATAACGGATTGCAGATATGTCAGGTGCACTCATCAGTTGTATTTTGTTGATGTCCAATTGCTTAGTTCTACTCTGCTTGTTCCACAACTGTTTATTTATTTGCTTTGCTTGCTCTGCATGCTTTGTGTCCTAAGAATGCTAATTATGTTGCTGTCTTTATGGGGTCTTGTTATATCATATCTGTAAATGTTTAACCATCACTAACTGAGCAGTCGAGGTCCTCTCAGCACTTTGGTCTTTGATGTGGGTTGTACACGTAACATGCGTTTATGTATTATGTATTTTATGTATTGACTTGTCACATAAGCACCAAATAAAAGATACAGCACATTTTTCTTAGTCTTATCTTTTTTTTCAAGTGTCTCTTAAACAGCAGTTAGTGGGTGTTCTGACATAGGATATATGTATTAAGATGATTTTCTCTTTCATCTTTTTGAGTGTCCTTTGATATGAAGCATCACAGACCAGCTCGGGCTTACTGAGTACACGTTACTGGCATAGACACCTTTCTGAGTTGACAAATTCAAATTTGTCAGAAAAGTATTGTTTTTATTTTGGAATGGCTTGTAGGTTTGATCTGACTGGTGTTATAACACCAGCATGAGAAAGTTTGCCGTTTTATATTTAAAAAATGTTTCCTCATTCCTCATACCTTAAAAAACAGAATAGGTTATACCGTATATTTCCCCCAGAAGTTTGACAAGGCCAATCCATCTTGCAGATGTTGAGATATTGAACTGGATATGTGTAAATGAATTGGCATTCATCATCTGATGACAATGCGTGTTGGTACAAAATGATATACCAATCGAAGAGTTTTCGACCAAAGTAGTGGACCAACAACACTGCTCAACAAGTCCTCCAACTCATACGACCAAATGGGCCGATTGTTCAGGCCCTTATTACGACCAAATATGTTGTTGCGCTTAATACGTCCTATAATTACGTTTTAAAGTTTTCGCCCTCTAGTGCTCCCGTTGAATGCTAACGCAGGGCTCGACAGTAACGGTTGCCAGGTTACCATTGGCAACCATTCAGAAAAAATGTCAACCACTTCTTGGAATTTGGTTGCCATCAGTGGCAACCACTTTTTAACATAAAGAAATAAGGACAGCAAACAGCAAAATGTGCACCCCAAAATAGATAAATGTTAATTATTTGTTGGATTAAGAGTGATATTTAATTAATGTTGTGACCAGTCGGAACCTGGCACTTAAGTTGCACGTGCATTGGTGTGATTACGGAGCCAGACAGCGATGCACGTTTACTCGCGGGCGCGGTGCACCGTGTGTTTGTTTTACAAAAAATGGCGAAGCAAATTAAGTTGTTTGACTGTGGGGTAAAAAGTTCAGCCAACCCGTCAACATCTCAAACGAATGTTCAAATTGATTCAACTGATAAAGCACAAGATGAACCCGAATGAAAGCAAAGAGAAAATGTGTAAATGTTGTTTCTTACACGACCACTAGAGCACCTCTAGTATTCGTGTAATAAACAACATACACTTTAAAACGTGTCTCTGGGTCGTTTAAAGGGCATGAACAATCGGCCTATACTGTATGGTCGTTTTTTGTAGGAGGACAGGCTGACACTGCTGTACCTACAAATAATAGTACAAATAAATAAATGGAAAACTCAAGTATTTCTTGAACTTAGGTCATTTGACTTTTTTTTTATACAGGAACATGCAAATGGTTTTAATGGGTTTAGTACCTTGAGCAGTCAGACAATTACATTAAAGGAAAACAAATCAGCAGGTAAGCAGAGTTCTCTTAAACTTTTTGAAACTGAATTGATGCTACTAATAATCCATGACACTAGAAAACTATAATGTCGCCTTATCATTTATATTCCGAACTTTACAAAATCAGGAAAGGTTACCCGGGCGACAGAAGCTGGCTTTGGGGACGTGGAACGTCACCTCTCTGGGGGGGAAGGAGCCGGAGCTTGTGCGGGAGGTGGAGCGTTACCAGTTGGATCTGGTTGGGCTCGCCTCTACGCACAGCGTCGGCTCTGGAACCTTACTTCTGGATAGGGGTTGGACTCTATTCTTCTCCGGAGTTACTCAAGGTGTGAGGCGCCGGGCGGGTGTGGGGATACTCACAAGTCCCCGGTTGGGTGCTTCGTTGTTGGAGTTTACCCCAGTGGACGAGAGGGTCGCCTCCCTACGCCTGCGGGTTATGAGGGGGAAAACTCTGACTGTTGTGTGTGCTTATGCACCCAACAGCAGTTCAGAGTATACGGCCTTCTTGGAGACCCTGGAAAGAGTCCTGTATGGGGCTCCTGAAGGGGACTCTTTAATCTTGCTGGGAGACTTCAACGCACATGTGGGCAATGATGGAGATACTTGGAGGGGCGTGATTGGGAGGAACGGCCCCCCTGATCTGAACCGGAGTGGTGGTTTGTTACTGGACTTCTGTGCTAGTCATGGATTGGCCATAACAAACACCATGTTCGAACATATATAGACATTTTTATTGATTGGGATAAACCCCTTGAGATGCACCATCTCGTTTTCAAGGGGGTCCCGAAACGGTGAACATAAGGATGCTCATAAGTGTACGTGGTACCAGAGCACCCTAGGCAGAAGGTCCATGATCGATTTCGTTATCGTATCATCGGACCTGCGGCCGTATGTTTTGGACACTCGGGTAAAGAGAGGGGCGGAGTTGTGAACTGATCACCATCTGGTGGTGAGTTGGGTCGAGTGGCGAGGGAAGCCTCTGGATAGACCTGGTAAGCCCAAACGTGTAGTTCGGGTGAACTGGGAACGTCTGGAGGAGGCCCAAGTTCAGGAGGCCTTCAACTCACACCTCCGGCGGAGCTTTTCGGGCATTCCTGTGGAGGTTGGGGACATTGAACCAGAGTGGTCGGTGTTCAAAGCCTCTATTGCCGAAGCCGCGGCGGGGAGAAGTGGTCTCAAGGTCCTAGGTGCCTCAAGGGGCGGTAACCCTCGAACCTCCTGGTGGACACCGGTGGTCAGGGAAGCCGTCCGACTGAAGAAGGAGGCCTTCAGGGATTTGTTATCCCGGGGGACTCCCGAGGCAGTTGCAAGGTACTGACAGGCCCGAAGGGCAGCAGCCTCATCCGTGGCCGAGGCAAAGCAGCGGGTGTGGGAGAAGTTCGGAGAAGGACTTTCGGGCGGCACCAAAGTTGTTCTGGAAAACTGTCCGACACCTCAGGAGGGGGAAGCAGGGGACCATCCAAGCTGTGTACAGTAAGGATGGGACGTTGTTGACCTCAACTGATGGAGTGTTAGGGCATTGGAAGGAACACTTTGAGGAACTCCTGAACCCGACATCTCCGCCCTCTATGTTAGAGGCAGAGCTGGAGTATGACGGGGGATCGACACCAATCTCCCGGGGGGAGGTCACTGAGGTCGTCAAACAACTCCACAGTGGCAAAGCCCCGGGGGTGGATGAGATCCGCCCGGAAATGCTGAAGACTCTGGGTGTTGAGGGACTGTCATGGTTGACACGTCTCATCAACATTGCGTGGAAGTCGGAAACAGTACCGAAGGAGTGGCAGACCGGGGTGGTGGTTCCCCTTTTTAAAAAGGGGGATCAGAGGGTGTGTGCCAATTACAGAGGCATCACACTACTCAGCCTCCCCGGGAAAGTTTACTCTAAGGTACTCGAAAGGAGGGTCAGGCCGATTGTCGAACCTCAGATTGAGGAGGAACAATGCGGATTTCGTCCTGGTCGTGGAACGGCGGATCAGCTTTTTACTCTCGCAAGGATCCTGGAGGGGGCTTGGGAGTACGCTTATCCGGTCTACATGTGTTTTGTAGACTTGGAGAAGGCGTATGACCGAGTTCCCAGGGAGTTACTGTGGGAGGTGCTGCGGGAGTATGGGGTGAGGGGGTCTCTACTCAGGGCCATCCAATCTCTGTACTCCCAAAGCGAGAGCTGTGTCTGGGTCCTCGGCAGTAAGTCGGACCCATTTCCGGTGAGGGTTGGCCTCCGCCAAGGCTGCGCTTTGTCACCAATCCTGTTTGTAATATACATGGATCGGATTTCGAGGCGTGGGGGTCTGCAGTTCGGTGGACTAAGGATTGCACCACTGCTTTTTGCAGATGATGTGGTTCTAATGGCTTCATCGGTCTGCAACCTTCAGCACTCACTGGATCGGTTCGCAACCGAGTGTGAAGCGGCTGGGATGAGGATCAGCACCTCCATATCTGAGGCCATGGTTCTCAGCAGGAAACCGATGGACTGTCCACTCCAAGTAGGGAATGAGTCCTTACCCCAAGTGAAGGAGTTCAAGTATCTCGGGGTCTTGTTCTCGAGTGAGGGAACAATGGAGCGTGAGATGGGCCGGAGAATCGGAGCAGCGGGAGCGGTACTGCAGTCGCTTTACCGCACCGTTGTGACGAAAAGGGAGCTGAGCCAGAAGGCAAAGCTCTCTGTCTACCGGGCCATTTTCGTTCCTACTCTCACCTATGGTCATGAAGGATGGGTCATGACCGAAAGAACGAGATCGCGGATACAAGCGGCCGAGATGGGTTTTCTCCGCAGGGTGGCTGGTGTCTCCCTTAGGGATAAGGTGAGAAGTTCGGTCATCCGGGAGGGACTCGGAGTTGAGCCGCTCCTCCTTCGCGTCGAAAGGAGCCAGTTGAGGTGGTTCGGGCACCTAGTTAGGATGCCACCTGGGCGCCACCCTAGGGAGGTGTTCCAGGCACGTCCAGCTGGGAAGAGACCAAGGGGTAGACCTAGGACCAGGTGGAGGGATTATATCTCTTCGCTGGCCTGGGAGTGCCTTGGGATCCCCCAGTCAGAGCTGGTTGATGTCACCAGGGAAAAGAAAGTTTGGTGCTCTCTGCTGGAACTGCTACCCCCGCGACCCGACCACGGATAAGCGGGAGAAGATGGATGGATGGATGGAAAGGTTATCTCCCTGCAAAATCAACCAACAGCTCTCTTCTATACATAGCCTTATTTTCTTTCCATTCTCTGGCAGTTTAGCAATAATACAAAACAAATGACTGTTTGTATCATATTACCAGTGATAAAGCAATACTACATTCATATTGAAACGTTGGTATGCTTTTTGTTTTTAATTTCAAAGCATTTACAATCACACAATTCACAAGGTCAGAATGTGGTAAAAATCTACCTGGACTGCCTTGTATCACTGTAAGGCTTCAGGTAAACATGAAATTAAAGCTTTATATTGCAGTCAAGGGTGGATTTCCAAAAAATGATTGTATTTTACTAGTGAAATATTGTAAACTTAAGTACCTTTTTTTTGCTAACACTTTTGTATTAAAGAACTCTGAACTTGACCTCTTGTAGTCCTTTCTATCTTTGACTGTTGTAATAATACAAGTATTTTTGCTTGACGTAAATCTTCCTGCAACATTAGAATTAACAATGCTTCCATGTGTCATGACCATTTCCAACCAAGTTCTTCCTCTCCTCTCAGACAAACAGGCCTCCTGGTGATGGGACCAGAGCACAGTGACAGTTACCTGCTGTATAAGAACACCATGGAGAGGAACAATGTCCCCATGGTGATTCTGACCCCTGAAAACTTCAGCCAGCACATCCCCAATGTCATCCTTGCTGAGGGAGATGGAGCGCTGGTGGATATAAATGCTGGAGTCCTGTATGCTGACCGTGCACTCAAGACTGTACAGGTACTGCACAGAAACTGCTGATTGAGCATTGGGCATGTTTGCTTAGGGTACTAAGTCAAGGCCAGTCATGAGTTCCATTTAGGACATGATGTGGACCTAGGACAGAGTATAGGGCTTCAATAGTTAGGAGCACCAGGCAGTGAAAGTTAATTTTTTGCCACACTTTTTAATAAGGTGTTTTGCTAGCTTACTAGCTTATATTTTCTCTATATCCTACCGTTAGCTTTAGCCTACATTCCCAAATAAATGTTTCGTACGCATGTTTTTACTGTATAAAGATTAACCCTCCTACAGTATTAAGCTCTCAAAGGAGACCGAGCACTAGAGCGCAATGTGCAGTGAATGAGTGAGAGTTACTTTTTTGCCACACTATCTAATAAATCATTTTGCTAGCTTACCTTTTTTCCAAATCCTAACGTTAGATTGGTAAACGAACATATCATCTGACTGCTTCTGTTTCTTGACCTGTGTGACATTTGTATTAAATAATATTGCAGTGTTTGGATCTTAACCACTATTCGGCAAGTGCAATGTCATATCTGACAGAACTGTTGGACAGTGCAACAGTAAAATGAAATCCAAGTTGGGATTAGCTGTACTTGTCTTTTAAATTGCCTATATGAATGTAATCATTACTGTGATTGAAGTCCAATCAAGAGTAATCATGGAGGTCTAGAAATTGCATTAAACTTAAAGATTTTGTATCTTGAGTTTCTTTTTTTTCTTTTGTATTATACTTTCCTTGGTTAACATTAAAATGCACAATTGATATACATCCTCCACATTTTAAAAGACCCGGACCTTTCAGATAGATTAGCCAGTGTACTTTCAAAAAAAACATTTAGATAAAACATAAAACAAACGTTGTGTCTGTTCCAGGGTGAAGGCAGAAAGCCGTGTCTTGACTTAAGAAATCCGTGCCATGCAACATTTACAAAATAACTCGTTAGAGAGTTGGGCAAGATGTGGATAATTGAACATATTTTATGCCCATTGTTTTAATCTAATAATAGCGCACTCCAGCAATAAATTCACATTACTGGACTGTCAGCACTGAGGAGAGGCACTGGAGGAGAACAGAGCCCTCCATGGCTGCCAGGTCAAGCACAAAACTCTGCTTTGTTATTTCAGTGAGGTGCCATTTTCAATTGACTGGACAGATTGTTCAGCCGCTCTATTGTGAAGCAGCAGTCAATTATACATTAAAGCTTGTAGTGATAGATGTGTTGTAGATCCGTAGATTATTTCCTTGTGCATTTTCATGCCTTGACTCTTTAATAGCCTCTTGGCTTTAGTATTATATCCTAATAGATGTCACTATTGATCCGTCTTATTTCATTATCTCTGGTTTCTTAATGTGTTCTTTCTCTCTTTTTGTGTTCTCTTTCAAAATAAACTCAGGGCTGTCAGCTCAAGTCTGTGTGATGACCACACACCAACCTTCTTTAACAAGTCACTGCAGTGATGTTGGCTAGCTTAACTTTGCACTGTATGTGACACACAAAAGCCAAAGTCTATGGGGTTTTTTCCATTAGCTTTTAGTTTGGCAAACATTAAGCTCTGTGGCAAACAAACCTTTATGACTAACATGTTTTTTTTGGCAAGAACACTTTAAGTTGTAAATGCAACAGCCAGAAATAAATAACTAACATAAGGCTATAAATGAACTTAACTTAAATGGGGCGAAACCCGCAAGCTGGTTCAGGCAGTCTACTCGAGCAACAATTATACATTTACACGTGATGCTCCTCGTTCCTCTTACAACAAACCAAACATATTCTCCTAAACTTGCCGCTCTATTTATGCTGCCTGCCTCGCTTATACTGCCGTGCAACTGCTTCCACGTTGCTGCTGCTCGCCTGCCCCACCACCACCCCAGCTTCAACCCCAGCATCCACCTGTAGGCTCGGGGGGAGGGTTATCTAATCATCACTCTTTGTAAATCTGTGTAGTGATGAGGCCCGAGGCTAGACGCCAAACTCAAATCATATGCTGCTTCTAATAAACATATCAACGAGACAAGTAACATGTAATGTAATGTCTGACTGAACTAAGCTAAAGGCAGACTTGTGTTCGGCTTGATGATGTTCAATAGTTTAAATGAGTCACTTGTTAACAACAGCTATTTTTAAGAGATATATTAACTTTCTAACCAAAAACTCATTTATATATCATTGACTTTGAGCAAACCAGAAGTGCCAAAATTCTAACTCATTCACCAGTTAGCCTTTAGACTAACTTTGCCTTCCCATGCTAGCGGTATGGCTAAAAATGGCTATTGAACAGCTATAGGAGTTAGTGAACTTATGGGAATAGTGAGAAGTGTTTAACTGTACTGACAGGCAGCTGCACCTGCAAATCATATTGTTTCTTGACCAGGGTTTACAAACAATTAAAAGTTTTGTTATTTAGCTTAATAAGTGTGTGTACCGATGCACGCTGTGGAAGTACAGCGCCACTTACAGGCCCGGCATATGTACTACAGCACAGCGGCGCCGGATTCATTTCACAAGTGGGGGGGGCAAACAGTGCGTGTGTATGTGACATACTTGCCAACCCTCCCAATTTTCAGGTCATATTTATCCCGCATTTCTCCCGATTTCTGACTAAATCTGATTTGTGATTCTCTACCTGTTTTATTCTAACATAACGCTCCAAATGTTACTGTTTCCACTCGGACTTTAATACAGCTACACCATTGTTTGGTTTCCATGGTAACACGTCTCTTTAGTAGCGCGCGCAACTGAAAGTCTGAGAGGGTGTTCAGCATGGGGAGGAAGATAGTCACAGACAACAGAACAAGAATGGACAACTCTACCCTCTGCTCACTCCTTTCCTGTAAATTAAACTATACAGGTCCAGCCCACACATATGACAGCGCAGTTGCTCATTCCATCACTTATTTTTTCCTGCTCAATACGCTCTTGTTTGACGAGCTGAATGTTGACTGGTGTTTGACTGAAGTAAGCGCACTTTTTTTGAACACACTCTCTGTGAAAATGAGACTTTTCGTGGCTGTCCAGGAGGCTTGGGCACTTTTTCAAGTTATTAACTCCGGTATTTACAAAGCTGTCATCTCCACATTTGGAGAAAGTTACAAGCCGTTTGACAGCAGCAAATCTGCATATTTCACAGAAGGCTCGTTTAGTGGTTTTGCAAAGAATTAACCACTCTCTGTTTTTGTACCATTCTGCATTGAAGTACCTTTCTTTTATTTACAATTAGCTGTGCAGCTTTACCCGTCTCAATGTCCCGACAACAAACCTCCACGCAGTCGGAACCAGCCGGTTTCGGTTCAACGATGCCGGCGGTTTTGACAGTCTCAGCTGTCGCAGAGCTGCTGCTTTGGGGTTCATCTGGCTGCGCTGGTTCTATGGTTGAAGGGCCAGGCTCCGGAGTTGTGGATGTCAGGGATGTCACATTGAAGTTGCTGAAGTTCAGTTTTGTTTGACTGTATTTTATTTTCTTATGCGCTGGTTCTTCTGACATGTTTCAATATCAATAGCTAAGTTTATCTATCTAGGTTAACGGCTGACACAGAACAATGAAACAAATAAACAAATGTAAGCTTTTTTATTGTTTTTTGGTTGTAATGTACATGGATAGCCTACATTTCAATGGTGTGACAATGTCCTCTTTGATTGGATTAAAATGTACATATTCTTCCTGTTATGTTTGCCTGCTTTATTTGACCTAATGCAATATATGAGCCTCTGTCGCTGCCTGTAGCTAATGAGATTGTTTTATCATCTCCTCAATTTGCAAAAATAACAAAATATACACAGCTAGATCAGAACGCGTTCTTTTTAGATGCGACTTTAGAGTAGAGGGGAATTATTGAAACGGGATGTACTGTTCCGCAGCATCCGCCGCTGCCAAAATGTGGAGAAGGGCTGTAAAGCGGGGGCCCAATGGCCCCCCTGCTTCTGCCGCCCCTGCTACAGCATCTCCAGCGGGTCGAGCGGTCTTGTGTGGACGGACACATTTATTGAGCCGAATCCGTGTGGACAGAAGACTTTTTTGATATCGAATTCTCTTCATTTTGGTTTTCGTTTCCATGTAAACGGAGCCTTAGTTTCATGATATCAGGGAAGTAATAAGTGTTCTGTTGTTCTCTCTTCCCAGGGGCAGTTTCAGAAGCTGGGTGGGGTCATAAGAGACAAAGAGAAGGTGACGGACATCACGCCTGGCCCTGTTGTGACAGTTTCAACCTCTGCTGGTGTGTATCGAGCCAAGAGCTTGGTGATCACCGCTGGACCCTGGGCTAATAAACTGCTGGCCCACATTGGATTACAGTTGCCACTAGAGGTATTGCAATAATGGTATATTATATTATAATAATAATACATTAAAGTTATATAACACTTTTCGCATAGACACTTTCATAGAAGCATACATCATAAACACACAAACAGGAATACAACAAATTATACGTAGCAGCATTTAACATACACAAATAAGATAAGATAAGAGGTACTTTATTGATTCTGGAAAAACATGTGTAACGGCCCCTACACACGGCGGCGTGCGTTGAAGCTTGCCGGCGGGCTTGTCTGAAGCTAGACCAACAACCAATCACATGAGTCTCCCGCCCCGGACACACAAGCACGCGGTTTGATTGGCTAGAGCTTGTACTGGCATATGATTCGATTGGCTGACGCTTCCGTCGAAGCTTCAAAAGTAGAACATTGCTCTACTTTTGAAGCGAGCAACGCAAGCAAAGCAAAGCTTTGCTCCCACAATGCAGTTTGGCAAAGCGTGATGTCACCCCATTCAATGGGCAGAAGCGTTGAAGCTTCAACGCACACCGCCGTGTGTAGGGGCCGTAACGACACACAGAGTTAACTAAATTATACAAACATGGGTTCATAGGCGCTTTCACACCATAGTACTTTTCCAACTTCAGTTCCGATATAGTTCCGAAATGTTGCGTTCACACCAAAAAAATCTGTAACAAAAATGAGTTAATGAGAACCTTTTCACCCCCTTTTCCGTCCCTGCTAGAGAGCAGGGGCTTTCGTGGGAGAAAAAGGTTCCTATTTCTGATTGGCTGGGCGGATTGCAAACTCCCAAAAAGTTTTGTGAAGCCGCCATTTTATTATCCTTGCATTAGCATTATTAGCATTAGCCCAGCGCAGAAACGCAGAGAGACTGACTTATGGCAACACAAAAGAAAACATGGGAGCGGTCGAGATGAGGAGGTGTCGGCGTTGCACGTAAAAAATGTCGGCGTTGCACGTAAAAAATAGAAGCTGCTGGGAGTCCCAGCAGCTTCTACTGAAGCCAGTCCCCAACTCCGGGGACTCCGGGTGGCAGTATACGCCGTGAAGTTGTTTGCGGCCTGCCAGTAAACCCAAAGCAAAAGAAGAAGAAGTGACGTCAGCGGCTTCATTTGCCTAATCCTCCCTCAGGGACTTATTCCGGTGTGAACGCGATCTGTACTTAGTTCATGAGAACTAAAGAGTTCTCATGAACCTTTGTGGGAAAAGTACTGCGGTGTGAAAGCGCCTCATGATTAGAGGTAACTGAGTTATTAATTTTGTTAAAGTTTCAGCTATTCTGTTTACAGTTCTGTCATCACATTATTTAATACGATTTGTTAAAACACTGTTGTTTATTTTGATGTGAAATATTATTTATTTTATTTAAATACATTTGTTTAGTTAAAAGAACCGTTAAGAGTACCGTTAAAGGACCGGATCGATGAGCAGTATAAAAGTAGTAGTCCAGTTAAAACCTTAACGATCCGAATAATCGATTATCAAATTAGTCGTTTGTTGCAGCCCTAGTGTAAAGTACATACAATTGTTTTTTTTGTACTCATTTGTGCGTGGGGAAAGGTGTGAATGTGTTGGATGTGTGCATCTTTCATATATTATGGCTCAGCAGAATAAGCCACACATTATAAACTACGTTATCAACTTGCCCATCTCATAGCTAATATTATCACTAGGATGCTGCCTGTCCCCACTAAATGGCTTCCACATGGCACAGAAACAAAAACATTACTCCTCCATATGTAATCAGCTCAGAGGCCTTAGTCAGCAAGGCACCCTTTTCCATCTTGCAAAATGCCACACAGCCAGAAAAGAGTAGGTGATGGGAAAACAAGCAGACAGCTGTTAAGAGTGAAGAATTGGAGTTGATATTGGAATTGCATTATTCAGGCCAGCAGCAGGCTGGGGGGGCCTGGGGAACGGCATGCCTGAGTGAACTGGTAGAAAAGTGCAGGCTCTGAGCACGCCGGAGCACTTCTGTCTGTATTTGTATCGTCCCCGGGAATGAGTGCACGGCCGGTTAGTTCATTACACTGAAAGCTCCTGAACAATGTGACCTTATTACTGCCAGCCTCTGATGGACGTCATTTGTACAACCATGTGTACATTTCATTAAATCCCAATTCTCACTTCACCACTGCAGAGCTACTTTTGTAATTGCACTTCTATTAGAGAGAATAAGAGATGAGGAGGATGGAGTAGGTGTTGTACTATAAGGTAAGCTTGCAAGCTGCTAATGTTATGCCAGTCAATCAGTTCTAAGGGCCTTTCTGACATCTATAATGAACATTAATTAGGGACCTTAACGCACTATAACAAATGCAAATAAATTAAATTACCACTTTGTACCCCAGCTTCCCACCATGATTCCAGCGTGGATTTAAACCATGAATTATGACAGTGAAAAGGCAAAGCAAGCTAAGGTATCCGCACAAGCTAATGTATTGCTCTGACTGGAGACCACTGGACATCACTTAGAACTTGATATGACAAATGTTCTGCATGTATACTAGTATTTAGTTGTATACCATGACATCAAAACATATGAAAAACTCTTTCCCTAATTATAATCAGGTTTCTGTGCCTAGTCCCTAACCAAAAGGATACTGGCCAACAGGAGATCCTTTCCAATAACACTAGGGGACAAACCTCGTTGTCCTCATTCTGGGAAAAATAAACATTTATATTTATATATAATATATATAAGTTTATCGATGGACAGGATCTCTTAATGTGTCATTATGACAAGAGGAATCCTTAAACAATACATAGAAGTTTGAGCCTATAGCATTGAATCATAACATTAAAAGATTAGAAAAAGGACATTTTATTATTTTCTTCATAGTCATATGTTAACAGACACTGACAAACAACCCCAATGACATAATTAGTTATTTTGTTTAGAGGATGTGTTGTGTTGGTAGGCTGTCCTTGTAAAACCCTTTCATTAAAAGGATGCACAGTAAACACTTCGGTCGATCATTCAGTCTTTTAGGAGGACATGGTATTAATGATTTTCTGGTTTTCACTACTCTAGGTGGAGAAGATCAACGTGTGCTACTGGAAAGAGAAGGTTCCTGGAACATATGACGTGAAGAAGCGCTTTCCCTGCTTCCTGCTGACTGAGGGAGAGGAGTCTGATAGGCACATCTACGGCCTCCCGTCCAACGAGTACCCCGGCCTGGTTAAGGTATGTCTGACTCTCCTGAAGCGAATCCCTCCTTTATGTGCAGACCCATCAAATATTCATGGTAATAATATGAATTGGACTGTATTAATGATGATTACATTTTTAATGCAGTTTGTCTATCGGTTTTTTAGATGATCACTTGACTTCATTTTTTATACATTATGTGTACCCTGAAGCAAACCCAGCTTTCTTTATCTAATTAAAGGGGCCCTATTATGCTCATTTTCAGGTCCATATTTGTATTTTGTGCTTCTGCTGTAATGTCTCCATGCTCTTGTGTTCAAAAGCTCTTTATTTGTCTCATATGTGCTGCAGCACCTCTTTTCACCCTCTGTCTGAAACCAGAGCCCAGTCTGCTCTGATTGGTCAGCTGGCCAGCTCTGTTGTGATTGGTCAACCACTCAAGGATGTGTCGCAAAGGTCCCTGACCTTAGCCTATCGTGTACAATGTGTTGGAGCGCAAACCAATATAAGCGCGAGTATAACAAGGAGTCCAATGGAGGCGTTCAGGCAGGGCGAGAATACTCCCTTCGGAAGGAACTTTGGGAATTTAGCCTTTGCAGTCTATTTACATGCACAAAAACTTCCTTAAGACCCCAAAAAGCATAATGGGACCCTTTTGTCACACACACACACTAGAGCATTTTATTTTTCTTATGATATATCCCATGATAGAATGCCAAAGTATGTGTTGTCTTATAACCATAATATAATTTAACTGACCATTATACAGACATATTTAGATATACATTATTCATTATTTTATAATCAACTTGAACCTGAAAGGTTTTGACTTAAATAACAACTATATGAACAGTTCAGCTTGAATTCTCCATTCACTACATTGCGGGGGTTTGCAACTATGGCAGCATATAAGGAGCATATAAGCAGTTAGCTATTGTTACCTAAACCAAGCAACCTTTCGAGTCCAGCTCAGGTAGTGCTTTATAGGTTTTCATTTTCAGATACAGCTTACAGTTTCTTAGTTTTAGATATATATCTTGTTGTTTGGAGGGAGGGCACTATATTTGTTGGTGGACTAACAAACAGGTAATTGGGGCTGAAAATAAGAAACTGTACAGAGAGGGGAAAGGACACACGTGCTCAGAACGTTACAGAAATGAACATCCCCTTAGCATTTGAAGGGAATCGTTAAACCACATTTTAAATGCATCGTCTGTCAAATATAAAATAAAAACAGTAGCACTGTTGTTTGAAGCCATTCCTCTGTAATGTGGGCTCATTCTCCTGCTCAAAAATAAATCTTCTTATTTATTTAGCCTGTCTCTAGAACACTGCTTTAGGTTTTTCTCCGATTTTAGAAAACCTGAGGTGATTTGTGATTTATGTATCCATCCTTACTTTTGGTAACTTGGTTGAGTGTCGAAAAAGTCCACAATGAAAACATTTAGGGGGCTGAATACTTTTTTATAAGCACTGTATTCTATACAATATAATTCAATTGGCAAAAAAAAATTATGTTTATGTATTATTATGAAATAATACTTTTTAGATTTTGTACTGCAACCGAAAATAAATAATATATTTCTATACCAAAACATTATTTATTTAATTGATTTGGTGGCTACAACTGCCCTAAAGACTTCCATTAGGAGATATGCCGCACTTTCCAAAGGAATGCAAATATCTAAACAGAAATGTGCCAAAACACACGAAGAAACATCTTCACCAACTTGACAGCACAGGCACAGCATTTGGAAAAAAATCCGTTTTCATTGGAGATCTGCCGTAAGCGAAGTAGCTAAGGTAGCTAACCTAGTCATTTAAAATATATTGATGAAACAAAAAATAAAAACAAGGTCAAAAAGCACTCCGGTCCCAGCTGTGTGCATAACTTGTTGTGTCCCTCTTTCTATTGTGTTTTGAGCTTCTTTGTTTTATTGGCAGGTTTTTGTATTTGGAACGTTTCATTTATGCAATGCTTTTAGCAAACGCTCCACACGTTTCGCCAAGTTAGTGAACGTTTTATGAATGTTGTGCATGTGTTGTCAAGTGGGTGAAGATTTTTCTTAATTTGCATGTGTTTGGGCACATTTGTGTTTTTATATTTGTATAGTTTTAGAAACTGCAGCTTATTCCTTCTAATCTAAGTGTTCTGGGCCTTGTAGCACGTTCGCACCGGTCCGACACTGTAATGTAACTCTGCTCCCTCAATATGAATTGTTCAGTATGACAACATTTTCCTGGAATGCTGCTTTTGAGAATCACATTGCCACGGTAGAACGATTGCAGTCCAATCATAAATAACAATCCATGCCGCAAAGTCAACTGTAAAATATGATTTGTCCTCCCTCTACATCAGATTAGTGGTGGGGGTTGTGCTGGGCTTCATGTCATCTGATAGCACATCTCTATTTCTGGCGTTATGGTGGGGCAGCAGGAGCTCACAGACTAATAGCAGACCACATGCATAGAAGAGAGGGGTGGACAGATGGTAATGCCACGTCACATTATCCACTGAGACGCAGTCACCAAAGCTACTGTATGTCCCAATGTTGGGACCATTTTACATCATTGGGAGAAAAAAATTAAAATGAGGCAGGAGAAAAAAAAGTGTAGATCCTTGCGGGGTTTTATGGTTTTTGCTGCTTGGACCTGACAGAAAAACATCAAACCTCTTTTTTCTCCCACTGCCTCCTCGCTGTACTGACAGGAGCCGCTTTGGAAGTATGGAGTGTGTGAATGACAGTCACTCCTCCTCGCTTTAACACAAGTATTAATAAGGGACATGACATGTGAAACGCATTATTTCCTGCCTTTTTAATTAACTCTAAATAAAATATTACCTGATGACATACTAATACTCCTTCAGCTGTATACACAGAGTATTGGGATTCTGTCCTCATACAATACTCGTTACTTTAAAGATTCACTTTTCTATAAGGTATGTTGTCCAATTTTCTATGAGACTCATGCATTCTATTTGTTGTGCTTATTTTCACATTAGATGGGCGTAGGGCGTCAAACTCTTTTTGAACACTTACATTGAATTTGCTTTTTATTTTGTAGGTATTTGAAACCAGTGCAGACTGGGCTCTGGTTTCAGACAGAGGGTGAAAAGAGATGCTGCAGTATGAGAAAAATAAATAACTTTTTGAACATTAAAGCATGGAGACATGTCACAGTAGAGGAACAAAATACAAATATCAAACATGAAAATGAGCATAAGATATCCTCTTAAAAATGCATGCAAAAACTTAAAATGTAATAAATACTACTATAAATAGAAAAACTGAATATAGTTAGATGGTGTTATACCATGAACAAAGAAAGCATGGTTGCAAAGCTTTTGCTGTTTCATGGAGAAACACATTTTAATGATGTCATTGTGTGTGCAGATTTGCTACCATGTCGGAGGTGAGACAGACCCAGACCACAGAGACAAGCAGACAGACAGGTCTGATATCGGCATCCTCCAGCGCTTCGTAGCCCGCTGTTTTCCTGGCCTCATCCCCGAGCCGGCTGTGGTGGAGAGCTGCATGTACACGGTCAGTCAGCACAACATGGACCACGCTCATTAAAAGTGATACTTTAAAGCTCTCCTATTATGCTTTTTTAAGGCATATATTATGGGTCTCAGATATATACAAAAATATAAAAAAACATGTCTATGAAGTGTTTTGCTCAAAATACTAAACAGATCATGCGTTTTAGACATCCCTCATATCCCTCTGTTTCAGGGTCCTTAGCTTGAAAAAAAAAAAGATGAGGGGGAGCTAATGCCTGCTCAGAATTCTACCGGAGAGAAAGCTAAATGCTGCAGGGGCGGACTTGGACTGAAAATCAGCCCGGGAATCTCACCCAGCCCAGCACGTGAATTGTCAACGGGGGGGGGGGGGGAGAGCCTCGCTGTGGAGAAACGGAGTTTCGTCCCGAACGTCCCGATGGCCAGTCCGCCACTGCCGTGATGAAATGCCATGTCATGTTCCAAACCACATCACGGATTATTTCTGAAACAGTATCAAATACTCAAATGCTTTTTCTCTTGTGGGTTTACCACAAGGTGAGTCCCTTTTTATATTTCTTGCTTTTTTAGCATATTTCTCTCCAGTAGGCTACAGGTTAGCTCTGAGTGTTAGCAGGGTTCCTGCGGGGTCTTAAAAAATCTTACATTTGATAATCTGAATTTAAGGCCTTAAAAAGGTCTTAAATATGACCAACAAATAAGAAAGGTCTTAAATATGATTTAGAAGGTCTTAAAAATTATCGGATTTGAAAGGCACTTCTGTGTTGCGATAGCGTCTAAATGTGTTTTGGGGGAAATGTCCGGGCTGTAAAGTAACCAGTACGGTAAGAGCCTTTCAGTTCCCCCCAACAATTTGTATTGAAATAAATCAACATGGAACCAGTAATCACTAACTTTGTTTCCTCCGGCCCCTTATTGGAGAACACCCAGCTAGTAACTTAGCAACCAAGCTTCAGCTAGCAGCAGTCAGAAACTCATGTCTCTTCGAATCTACTTACAAATAAATATGGGGAAGTGTAAATTCAACCGTATTTGGTTGGAAAACATCACATTTAGTGCTTGGTTGAAACCAGTGGAGGGAACGTGTTTGAAGCCCGCTGCACCTTTTGCAAAATAAATTAGCGTTTGTTTTGCTAGTGCAGCAGCTCCCGCAACAACACCGGGGGACCTCCGGGCGACGTTTGGGTCTGCGTCAACCCTAAAAGCGGAGATGCTGTAGACGCTAAATACCGTAGTTAAACACCAATCATACAACAGCAACGATGAAAGATTGTAGCCAAGGCAGCAGGGCTCTGAATATAGCTCTTGTCACTCTCTCACACACACACACACACACACACACACACACACACACACACACACACACACACACACACACACACACAAGGGCTGCTCGATTATGGCAACAATTATGATCACGATTATTTTGGTCAATAATTGATATCACGATTATTAAATACATTGACTTTGAAAACATCCATTTATTGAACTTTAAAACAAATAATAATTTGAACAGTATCTTTTTAACTGTTGATTACCCTGAACGTATAATTCAACTGAAAAACCAATACAAAAATAAATTAAATAAATGATACATTTAAAGGTGGGGTAGGTAAGTTTCAGAAACCCGCTCGAGTGCACTAAAATTTGAAAGTACACAGCCGAAAAGAATCCGCCCCTTTCTTCAGACTTCCTTACAGAGCACCTCCTCCAACACACATGAACGCGCATGACGTCAGCAGACTGGTGAAAGTGGCCGCCTGTTGCTGGCGAGTCATTGAAGTACTGCTGCAATGCACGCCCAATGAGGGCACGAGATACATTTGTGCGTGCACGAGATGGAAGGCTGACAGACAGGGCGGTCTGTCAATCCAATAAATACTGTAATACTGTAAAAAGCACGACCACTTAAGATATTCATTGCTATCGGGATGTTAAGAGCATTCCATGGAATATAACAAAAAGTGTATCTCGAGCCGGTTTCTGAAACTTACCTACCCCACCTTTAAATAAATAATATCAAAATAATAAATACCAATAAACAAGATCAACAAATATTTTGGAGCGCACTTCCACAAGCTACTAAACATATATAAATATGATAAATAAAAACAAATTAGACTAAAATTAATTAGATCAGATATGTTCTATCTAGTGAACTATCACAACCTAGCAAAGCAAAATAATCGTTTTTTTCGATTATGTTGTTTTCGTAATTGTGGCAGGCCAAAATCGTAATTGCACAGCCCTAACACACACACACACACACTTTTTGTCTAACACGCTAACACAGTTCTGTACTGTTATGCTGTTATGTTCAGTCATTGTTCTTATGTTGAACATGAATACATTTACTTTGTAAGTAATTATGGGACGTATTTCTTCTTTCATAGCAATTTTCCTTCATACTTTCTTGCCATGAAATAGGTCTTAAATTCTATTCAAAGTGTTCTTAAAAAGGTCTTAAAAAGTCTTAAATTTGAGTTGGCAAAAACCTGCAGGAACCCTGGTTAGCGATGCTTGCTAATGTAAACAAAGACCATATTACGTCCAAAACAGTCGGGCATTGTTTCTGATAGCAACGTTTCTGATAGTGCCGTAGGTCCGCATTGCCGATATTACGTCATGTCGGCAGCAAATCTGGATCAGCTCCGTTGCACCCCCGCTTTTAGAGATTTGGGTACGGAGGAAAAGAGAGAGGGTTTTATTTTCTTACACTTTGTGAGTTCACTGACACCCTATTTTTTGTTTTATTTTCAACACAAATTTGTTTTGTTAATTTTTTTTCAAATGCAAAATACCATTTGTAGGCCCATTATCTCTCCAGCTCCACAAAAGTCTATTCGAAGTGGTATTTTAACACATATGTGGCATGCTATCAAAATCAGTCACGAAAGAGGAGAATCTTAGCTTTCTGATAATATCCTTATTGTGTTTGTTCTCCAAATATTCAGCAATATATTTTACATAATGAAATTAATATTACTAAGACAGGATTATGAGAAAAAGGCGTTGAAAGTTTGTTGGAAAATGCCTTACCATAGTTACATTAAGAGGGGTATCAGGGCATAATATTGTGGGGGCATAGTACCCCTCGCCCCCCCTTAGGTCCACAACTGGATTAGCTATGATTCTGGAATCTTTTTTTGTCTATAGCTGGGGGGTCAAACTAAATGTCATCGTGGGCCACATCAGCATTATGGTTGTACTCAAAGGGCCGGTTGTAACTTTCAATCTCAATCTTTGTTTATTTATATAGCACATTTAAAACAACCTTGAGTTTGACACCCCTGGTCTATAGCCAAGCTTGTTAGCAGGCTATACCTCTCATAATGTTCAACTTCAGCTCATTGTTCACAGAGTCATGTATCGTATCGATGCCTCGAGGAAGAGAGTTGGTGAGGGTGTGTTTCATATTCTGAAAGCTAAGACTTTAAAAAAAATAATTAAATCAACCTAAACCCCAGATTTTTCACATCAATCCTCATTTATCTCGGAATGCAACCGTTGCAACATCCAACTGATTTTGCTAGGGCGGGTCATATCTATATATGACCCGCCCTAGCAAAATCAGTCGGATGTTGCAACGGTTGCATCTACAATTATTGTACTTTCTGTGATTTGAATATGGCACTTGTCCATATTGCAGTTTTGCTAACATGTGTATTCATTGTGCGGCCCTATACACAGCAGATACTGTGGGTCATCAGGAAATATAAAAAAACTAAAAGAACGAACCTAAGGGACCAAAGAAATCTCCCTAAACTCGCTTTTAATTTTGATCACTGCTCAGGATAAACACCAGGAAACTACTTCCTTGTATATAGCTGCCTTGTTACAGGAAGAATACAAGATGGAAGTTTCTTCTCTTCAACAATATTTTAAGTTCAGCAGCAGAAATAATTGTCTCTTTGGCGCCGAAACGTTCCCAACATTCACATAGCTATGTTCCGACATATATTGACCATTTATGCAAAACAGATCAACTTTCGCGAGAATAATTCACATCTCTAGTCTTAGTAAATAACCGGCTAAATTGAAAAGTTGCCCCTAATGGGTAATTAGTTGGAGGCTGAGCAACCATCTCCAGATTGATTGGTGTGAAAGAAGCACAGTTTCACTTTCTCCCTTTTTCTTCTTGAGATGTTATCTAAACTTTTCTTACATTAACAACTGTATTTGTGTAATGGGAAACACCTTTTGATGACTTCTAACAACATACTTGAGTCAGTTTTATCCCAAAATACTCCTCACACATCTTCTTGACCCTTAAATGGCCATTCAATATTTTAGAAAATTAATTGTTTCTATTTTCTACATATCACCCTTATACCCATATTACTCTGTTATTACACTATTATTACACCTATAATACAGTGATATTACGCCCATGTAACGCTAATATTACACTGTTATAAGACCCATGTTAATCCCATGTAAATGTGCTATTGTAAGGGACACTGCAGCTTTTGGAGTCACTAGACTGTTCATGTTATCTTTTTTCTTTTTGTCCTGCTGTAAAACCAGTCAGAATAATAATAATAAAGAGTTAATAATGTGTGTATATATAATAGCAGGTGGGTTCATTTTTTAAAGAGAATATGAAGAGCATGAGTTGCTGGCTGTGTGTGTGTGTGTGTGTGTGTGTGTGTGTGTGTGTGTGTGTGTGTGTGTGTGTGTGTGTGTGTGTGTGTGTGTGTGTGTGTGTGTGTGTGTGTGTGTGTGTGTGTGTGTGTGTGTGTGTGTGCGTGTGTGTGTGTGCGTGTGTGTGTGTGTGTGTGTGTGTGTGTGTGTGTGTGTGTGTGTGTGTGTGTGTGTGTGTGTGTGTGGTCATGGTCTAGCATTACTATACTTGTGGGGATCTAAATCTGTTTACACAGTCACGTGTGAGGACTCGCCGCCCTTATGGGGACAAATTGGAGGTCCCCATGAGGGGCATCATTAATTTTAGGGTGAAGACTTGGTTAGGTTTAGGATTAGGGTTAGGGTAAGGTTAAGGGTTAGGGTTAGGCATGTGTTGGTTATAGTTAAGGTTAGGATAAGTCTCCAGGAAATGCATGTAAGTCAATGTAATGTCCCCTGAAGTGATTTATACATGGTGTGTGTGTGTGTGTGTGTGTGTGTGTGTGTGTGTGTGTGTGTGTGTGTGTGTGTGTGTGTGTGTGTGTGTGTGTGTGTGTGTGTGTGTGTGTGTGTGTGTGTGTGTGTGTGTGTGTGTGTGTGTGTGTGTGTGTGTGTGTGTGTGTGTGTGTGTGTGTGTGTGTGTGTTGTTCAGCCGCTCTGCCCTCCAGCAACACAGCGAGCAGCTTTTACCACGATCACATATTGAAGCTGTGGGAGAACATCATTTCTGTGACCTTGTCCAAAGCCCCTGAAAATCCCGACAGTCACGCTTTTTTTTCACTTAACAGCTACTGTTTTTTTCCATTAGCAGTTATTTTTAGAAGAGGACATAGAGTTAAATCGCCTGTGTCTCTGCAGTTGATGTAAATAATTGCCTTTGTTAGATGTCATTAACTCATTCAGTTAAACACATTCCACAAAGACGTTGACAGGACTGGAACTGTAATGTGTGTGTATGTGTGAGTGTGTTTCCCATATAGTGTATGAGAAAGTACAAGCAAATTGGGAAAAAGAGGCAGAATAAGCCCCTTGGTTCCAAACCTGAACAGTTTAGCTATCAAGGTCCAAAAGTGTCTGTCATTTTTTAATCTTGCTCCTTATGTTTTGTTTTTGTTTTTGCAGCTAACGCCTGATAGTCATTTTGTGCTGGACTGCCACCCTGCCTACAGCAACATTGTGTTTGGAGCTGGGTTCTCAGGTGATTCACAATACAACACTTGAACATAATAATAATAACATAATGAAGTCAATGTAAAGGGTCATCTTTGACAAATCATATGTGTTAGGATAGATTATCAAACTTTTAACATTGCCAGGTATCAAACAACTACTTGTTATGTATTGGGAAAGTATATATGTCAAATCCTCTCGGTTATCATTCGTTTTTTTTCTTCTCTATCTATTAGTAGATGCTGTCGCCTAGTTACAGTTGAGCCCAGCAGCATTCCAGCTGTGAGAATTTATTTATTTAGGCAGGGCAAGTTTATTTATATAGCACATTTCAACACAAGGTAACCCAAAGTGCTTTACAAAAATGAAAGCCATTATGAACTGTTCAGTTATACAAAACCGACACTGTGACACAAATTGAACTGTAATATGCTCACTCTTTCAATGATAACAAAGTGATATAACAGGAACTGTTTGCCATGGTTAGCATTTGCTAGCATAAAACACAAAGTAGAGCTAATGCTGATTGAAATTGACCTAGTTCTTTGGTAGTTAAACTGCAGTATCAAACAAAACCTTTGTCATTGCTATTTATTCTCTGGGAACCATGAATGTCAGTATGACATATGTAAAGCATCAATTGGATGTAAAAATAATTTAGTCTGAATATAGAGTTTGAGATGGGGCTCCATTTGGCACATGAAGCCAACATCTCAAGTACCTGTATCTGGGCCCATAGAGCAAGCGCACTTCCATTTTCTATAAACCCCACCTCCAATCCACAGGTCACAGCCATTTTCGATTTAGTCAAATTAATGAATGAGGGAAAATCTTGGTTTGGCTTTAATTACATCTTACAACCTTTAGGACCAAATGATTTCAATAGGACCTATTCAAGCCTTCGTAGTGTGAAGTTTCCAGACATTTATCTCCCAATGTAAGACAATGGGAAAAGGTATATTTGGGCCCAATGACGTCACGGACTGACACAGAATTTGTAATACCACTGTTAGGCCACTACAAAAATGTGCGTCAACACCCGGCGTACTACCTGGGGGCTTGGTTATAAGTGGCCAGTTGTCCCAGTCCAATTCCGGTCAAACACTGTTTGTGTCTATTGAGCTAGACAATGATTGATTGGCAGGCTCTACAAAGAATGACATCATCATCAACGCCCAACTTTTAGGTTTCTTTTCAGCTGTCCTCTGTGACTTCAGACTGTATCTCAGACTCAGCTGCCTTAATTACTGCTTTGGTTCATAAAGGCTCTACAGAAAAGTTGCAAGCTTCAAAGCTTTATTCATAATGTTGACATTCAATTTCAAAATCGACATTTGAAATTTACATTTATATCCTTTTTAACCTTTTTATATTTAAAGCCGTTATTTCTGTGTGGGTCAAGGCTTAGTATTAGAACAGAGGAGAGGCCAAGGGAAAATAAATGTCTTAGTACTGGTTAGAAACGGGCCCTGTAGTGAATATATTATACCACAATTAGATTCCAGTGGTGGCTGCGTACGATTGTTTCAGACTTGTGTGATACAAACATTAGCTTTAACTTCAGAGTGATGCCAAAGATCACATTTGTTTAAATCCTTATTATATCCATTATCCAAATTCCTCAAATGTAGTTTGCCTTTTTGTAATAAAATGTGACTATACCCTAATTTCGTTGCACAATCCTGAGTTGTACAATGACATAAATTACATTAAAGGTGACCTATCATGCAAAATGCACTTTTGTACGTATTTTATACATGAATATGTGTCCCCGGTGTTCCAGGGAACTCACCAAGTGTCAGAAAACACAACCCTCTCTATTTTCCTCCATTACCCAAATCTCTAAAAACGGGGCTGCAAAGGATCTGATACAGATTTGAATTATTTTCTACGTCACAGAAGTGGTGCTCCGCCTATATGGCCAACTCTCCACCTATCAGGGGAATGTGGGGTTGGGCCACGGCCGGCCATTGCCGCTCGGAAGCGCTGGAGACGCTGTAGTACATATGCCAGGCCTGTAAGTGGCGCTGTAGTCTGCCTCAAAAGCAGCGAAGATTTCCCGCGCATGGTTGCCATGGTTGCCCTTCTGTTTATTCTCCGCTGTGGCTCTTTTTCTCCCTCCCCGAGGCAAGCGTTTGCTCCTGCTGCTGTAATTCAATGCAATCCCTCCCTCGCTGTAATTCTCTCCGGTAGTCCACCAGCAGAAGACAAACACCCACCTCTCCGCCTCTTCCAAGGAACGAGGGGACCGTGCAGCAGAGTTTCAGTTAGATTTTTTTTCACCGGTCAACATGTCCGTTAAAGTTCACATCTTCTGGACAAAATTAGAAAAGTGCCGGTCAAAGGTCTTCTTTGTTACTTATTGAGCTTTAAAACAAATGAATAATGACTCTATATAATCATATACGAATAAAACACGGAGGACGGAGATCTCTTTTTGTCCCCCTCTTCTCCCCGCTGCAGCCTAGCAGCTGATCTCAAAGCATGCTCCCCTCTCCTGCAGGGGGGCGTGGTCCGCTGCAGCTCACAGAATCAGCCCCCTGCAAAAACAGGGCTGGAGAACAGCAAATAGAGCGAAATGAGGCATGGCTAAAATCTGTTTGGTATTTTGAAAACAGAAACATATACATATACCTTTATATAGGTATGGCCCTACAATATATCATTTAAATATAGCATGATAGGTGTCCTTTAAGTTTTGATATTGTAAAACATTTCAGTAATTCACTCCCTTATTAATTTGCTGTTATTTTCCCTGTTGAAACAAAAACGTCCTAATACACTGACACACAGTCAGCAGTACAGTACAGTAGTAACATAGTCAGGGGTGCACATAACTTTTTTGCCCTGGTTCTCAAAGGAGCACCTGGAGATGTTGCTTGGTGCTCATCCTTAAAATGAAATAAACCGTAACTTTTGAGGGGGTCTTGACTTTATTTGCCAGACACACGGCACTGAACACACATGCAGAGGTGAACACAGAACACACATGCAGAGGTGAACACAGAACACACATGCAGAGGTGAACACAAGACAACATTAGCACGACCAGTAATCCTACAAGCTGTCATCACTCCCCTCCTGACTGTTCTCCTCACTGTCTTCCTCTCTGTCAGACATGGTAGCTGATGATGTAGGCCTACTACTTTCTCTCTGGTTGAGTCTGTGATTAGCTGCTTGCATCCACAAGTCAACAGCTGGGTTTGGGTCGAAAGTCTCTGTTGTCATCTTAGACAAGTGGATGTAATCAAATAAGTATGTGAACATAACCAATAACCTACCATAGCCAATAACAAATTAATGTAACTTATTTTATTTGTGTTGTTCATTCATATCTTATTTTACCTTAACATTTATTTATTTATGCATTTGTTTTAATCTTTCCAGTTTTAAAGGATATTTTTGGTTTACTGTCCTATAGTATACATTGGAATGATTTCAAACCTGTTTATCCCAATAATTATAAAGGAGTGCCTTGGAAATATGTGTTTACATAAATTGTGATCAAAACGTTTGAGACCCACTGAGATAACTTAGACCAGGGTTGCCCAACCAGTCGATCGCGATCGACCGGGGGGAGATTCCCAGTCGATCGCGAGATGTGTCTAAAAATAGAACAACAATATTCTGTTTTATCGTTAATGTCCTATAACTTAATCTTCCCGTGCCAGAATAATGCACTTGAACGCATCAAAGCTTTGTGATTGGCCGGCGTGACCCCATGTGTCGGGGCGTGGCTGGTGAGCAGTGGGCACTATTTCGCTGACGTTGTCCGTGTCAACAGGAGTGACAGTCCGCACACACACAAGACCGCAATTATGGCAGAAGCAAAAAAGCCCAAAATATATAATTTTCCCTCCGAGTGGGAGGATGATTATTTGTGTATCTATTCCAATTCAAAGTCCATCTGTCTCATCTGCAATGCGAGCGTGGCTTTATCGAAGAAGGGTAATTTAGGAGCGGCATTTCAAAACAGTGCACAAACGCTACGAGACGGAATTCCTTCCTCATTCTGCCCTACGCTCCAACAGGGGAGGGGCCTGAAAGGACAGCTAAATGCACAGCAGTCTATTTTCACCAGGCCCAACAACAAGAGCAAGGCTGCTACCATAGCATCTTATCGTGTCAGGCACGTTCTTGCGAAACACGAAGTCTTTCAAAGACGGCGAAGTTGTGAAAGAAGCATTCCTGGAGGCTGCCGACGCGCTTTTGCGGGACAGTAAAAATAACGAGCATTTCAACAGGTTTTGATATAATAAAAACTCAAGTTAGATACCGTTATTAATCAGCTGTAAGTTTTAGTTTGTTTGAACTTATTCATGATAATTATTGTACAAAATGGTATAAGAATGCAAACATTCAGATCTGTTCTGTTTAAATTGATTATAGTCTATTATCAATTCAGGTTAAGTAACTAGTGTTGCTTGCATCCTATTTTAAAGGCATTTATTTTTATACTCGACTAAAATGCAACAAAAAAAGGTTTGATTCTATTAATGTTGTCTTTTTTATTGCACTTTGGCAGCAGATTCCTGTGTAGCTTCAGATCTGAGTTGTCTTATTAGTACGCCTCATTTATACTTTTGTAGCAACACTATTTTTATATAATGGCAAAGAAAGGGTTCAGAGTCTTTTCTTTTTTCCTGTATCATATGTGGCAGCACTGTTCAATGTTTCTTGAAAACATTACCCACTGTAGTATGTGACATGTGAATAAACTCTGTATCAACAACACTGTTGTGTAGCTTCAGTTAAATACTTGTATGTGTGTAGATTAGAAAGAGGTAAGATAAAGGATCTGCAGTATTTTATGAAGTATTGATCGTACAAAGGTCAGTTTTATACAAGTAGAAGTGTGTATTTACCTGGTAGTAGGCTGTCAGTAACTACGCCTCTCTATTTGGACTGGTAGATCTCGGCAGACTGGCAACTTTAAAAGTAGCTCTCGGTTAAAAAAAGGTTGGGCACCCCTGACTTAGACTAAAGTGAACTATCTAAACACTCCCGAGTCCTTTACCTCACTGAGCT